ACCATTGGGGTCCATCATATCGCGAGTGGGGATGGAATTCCTACCTATGACACTGGTTAGTGGTCGCGCTAAATTCACGAATTGGTAAAAGAAAGAATTCGCGGGCCACTGAATCGGAGCTCGGTGGCTGAATGGTATGTGACCTCGCCTTGTAATCCTGGGGTTTTAGGTTAGAATCCTTTTGAGTAGGTACTTCCGAACAGTCTCAAACTAGGACGGAATAGCTGTCCAATACTTTCTGCCTGGCTTTCCAGTCGTCCTCTAGCTGACGTCAGCTCGTAACCTAACTTGAAGCAAATCAAAATGTTTACTCACAATCGCAAAATCTTTTAATAGCATCAACTCTCAACAGTCATTTATCACTAGTATCGCTAAGTATATCACCAGGATCCAAAAATAACTCAGTTTATTGGTTATCTTGACTGTTAGTTTAGGTGATGAGATTAAGGGTATGGACTGTTTTTCTAAGGTCCTCCAAATTATATTATTATTGTCCCCTTGGGTTCCGAGTGCAACATAAAGTTTCAACTACACTTCTGCACTTTATCCTATTTTCTGCTGTCCTTTTCAGCTGCCTGACTCCAAGATTGCACATAGTCTCTCATCTCCTCCTCCTTAACACATGATCTCTCCCATGTCGCCATCGCACCGACGACCCACGCGTCGCTTCACGGTCGGAATCCACTCGAGAAGTGGGCTGCACTGAATGGGATTTCATTCGACGACCTCCTCAACGTATGCCAAGTCCATCTCTTTTTTCTTCTGCATATTTGTTAAGCAATCGGCTCTCAAGTGGTTTCTTTCCAGCCAGAGTTCCTTGTTGCTAATTCTTTCTGGCCAGTCGGCCATTTGATCTTCAATATGTAGAGCCAGCCAGCAAATTGGGCAGCTGTTTATAAAAGTCTGCAGTGGCATGTCGAAAATGCTTGTCGTGATGTGACGGCCAAGTTTCTGACTTACATAGAAAAACTGACTGCCTGATTGACTTGCAATTGGTGTTGAAAACCCAAGTCTTGTTGTTTATACTGTATGCTGTTGATGCTCTATGTTCACCTGGAGTCCTGTCTTCGCTGCCTGCCAGCCTCGTCTGCCAGTTTGTTGGTTTTCACCTGCCCACAAGTCTTCGAGTGTGTGTGACTGATATGTATCCATATATATATATATATATATATATATATATATGTGTGTATGGTGATCTCTCTTTCTGTTTGCTCGCTTAGTCTGTGACCATTTCACTTTGATGAACCTGTCTCCTTTAACAATGTATATTCTCCTTATATTATATATAATATGATTGTTTGTTGACAGTCCGTTGCTTAGTGACATATATCCATATATGGTTGTTGTTGACATGTCTGCTATATTTTGCTATGTATATATGGATCGACACTCCATTATAATTAGCCATTCATGTTAAGACTGTCTAATGATTTGTTCACATCCTTGTCTGAACATTCATATATATTTCACTCTCACAATTTGTGTGACTTACTGACTTACTTTCTTTTGGTGTGATACCACTTTTGCATTCTCCTTGTGTTTGGAAAATAGAAGTATCATCGCAAACCTATTGGTCTTCTGATTTCCGCCTTCTGCGTCAGGACTATTAAATTCTCGACCAGTACATAGCAATAATTTAGCGACGAGTACATAACAGTGATACTAAACATAAATCGTCCAAACACGAAATCCAGATATTCTAGAGTCTTCTCATAGATGGTCCAGTGTATTTCTGTCTTCTCACTCCCCATAGTCTGACGCATAATCTAGTCCACCACAATGAAGAATATCATCGGTGATAATAGACGGCCAGCCCTGTCTTACTCATATGTTCACTTCGAACGCTTCACTGAGCGAGTTTTCCGTTGTAGATCACATGACATGTGACAGGCATGTTCAATCAGATTGATAGAGAATTGGGCACTGCATACAGTAACGTTGAAGCAGATTTCAACTTACTACTTGGTCAAGGTTGTCTGTCGAAGGCGTTTTCGAAGTCGATCAAGTTAAGTTACAGATTTGAATGCCATTCTATGTTTTGTTCTGTGATGAAATGCGTAGAGTAGCAATTTGATCAGTACATGATTTGAATTCCCGAATCTAGCTTATTCCGGCCAGCCGGTGGAGTTCTGTATCCAGTGCAGCCCTTATTCTCCCCAGGAAGATGCGACTTAGTATTTTCTGCTTGGCGTGGATGACAGAATTATTCCACTCCAGTTCTTGCACAGGCCTAAGTCGTTCTTCTTTGGCAGCTTGACAAGGTAGCCTTTTATCCAGTTGGTAGGTACGTTGCTTTCTTTCCAAACCTTTTGCAACAATGGAGTGGGAACATCTTCTGCGGTCTCTGTCTCCGTTTACAATGCTTCGGGTTGGGGGAATCCCGTATCGTCATGTTGCCTTCCTGACTGGACTTCAGTAGCTTGATCACATTCAAGATTTCTGCCTTCACTGGAGGATTGGTGTTTACTGGCAGGCAGTTCTGTGCGAGCCGTTGGTGGTGATGTATTTCTAGGCGAGTTGCAAGTGATGGTCGACTCAAGAGTCCTTTGAAGTGATCATCCCATTGTCTTATTTGTCTATTTTCCTTGATAAGTAGGTTCCCTTGAACGTTTCTATTGGTTTCATCATCTGGGTTGATCTCTTCCTGGATAGAGACTTGGTTATCTGATAGAATTTCCTTAGGTCTGTCACCTGTAGCCTGCCTGTTCCGCTTCAGTTGACAGCCAGTATGTCGTAGAATCGTATTTTGACTTTCCTAGCAGTCTTCTTCACTTCTCTTTTTATTCAGTGTAGTGTACATTGAACTCAGCTTCTCCTTCTGTTGTCCACCATTGCATTAAGTCATCTTCTCTTTCACCATCATCCTCTCCTCGATTAGCTTCCGGGTAGGTGTCCGTTGATAGTCATTCCTTGTCTTGTCTTTTTTTTCCTTGAACAGTTGTACACGTTTCCTTGAACATCACCTTCAGAGATTTAGTTCCCATGTTCTTCCACGCATGTTTCTTCAGTAACGCCACGTAGTGTCTCTGACTTTGCTATACTATCTGCAGTGAAGGTATCCCTTGCAGTTTTGTTCATCAGTTTCTGAATGTTGAATTTGAACTGTCCTCTGTCTCTAGTTGTTTTGAAGGCTTTCGGCTTGACCTTGAATGTTCCTTGAACTAGATGGTGATTCGAGCCCATATCAGCTCCCTTTCTCGACTTTATGTCCAGCAGGCTTGCTGCCTCCCCACTTCCTTGAGCAGTGTTGATATGAAATCTATTTTGTTTGTGGTGTGTCTCTAAGGCGAAATCCATGTTCCCTTGTGTTTATTCTCGAGATATTAAGAATCAATGGATGAAAACTGTTGACGCTTTGACTTAAAATCATTTTTAGATGGCAAAGATGCGTATTCATACTACTGGCATCTTGAAGATTCTGAAAACCGTTATTATTCTCCATTTGAATGGTCAACGGGGTGGTCTTTTAACCTGACCGTTCTTGATACGATTCCCCTAATAATCATAAGAGTTTACTGATGAAGAGTTTGCAACTACGACGAAACGGCTATCCGGTACTCCCTTATGATATTCACTGGTCCTTTAACTGACCAAACCTGAAATCAGTTGGATCTCAGGAAAGCAACACTTGAAAATCAATCTAGTACTCACTGATGACTGACTACAGTTGTTGTGAGAAGTAGTAATCAGTGAGTTGGTTGTGACTGATGACATTGACTGACAATGGAGCTATATGTTGTGAATCGGTCTAAGGTAGAATTCATAAGCTGCTGACTGGATTTCCTTCCAGTGGCTAAAGTATCAACGAACTATCCATTTTAATCTGAAGGTCCTGAGTGTTATCCAAGTTGTAGGGTCATGGTTACATACTAGTGAAGAATGCCAAACAATGGATGAAAAAGCTCTCCAGTGTTTTCATAGTTTTTTCTGTGGTTCTCTAAATGAAGTCATTTCCTGATCAAAAATTTTCATTTAGTTCTGTCCTCTTCATTTCACCTGTATTAAGATTTTGTTAACAACCATCTTGTATAAAGACTGAATAAATCAGTACTGCACGCTATTAGGTACATCTAATTCCCGTGTGAAATTTTAGTGAAATAGATCTACTTATCTGCGGCTACTAATTAGAAATATCTGACAGAAAACGAATTGAACTGACATTATTATTTTTCAAGAGTTAGTTTGTAAGGATCAGATTTCTTTTTTCGAGTATGACCCAGACTGATATCAGTTACAGAATCATAGCAAACCAGCTGGAAGTACTGGACAGCTGTTTCGTTAGCCTAGTTTAGGACACATCGGCAGTACGCACTCACAACCAGAGTTTGAACGAAGGACTTGCCGGTTACAAGGCAAGCGAGCTCGTGGACCACTAAGCCCATGAATTCTAACTTCGACTGGTTCGTGATATCTACCGCGACTACCAACTAATATCATAAGGGTGAAACACATTCTCACTCCTAACTGGATGCAGCTCATTGTTCACGACTTCTCACTAGAACTCTAGGAAACTTCGTCCCTTAGCAAGTCACTAGCGAACATCAGATGAATTTTCAATAGTTGATTTGTAAGCATTATGTTTGTTTCTCGAGTTTGACCACGGATTGATATCAGTTATGGAACCATTGAAAACCAGACACACGGAGTAATTTTAATTTTTTTTAATTTTTGATTTACAGCTTGATTCCACACTGTAGTCTCGGTACAAGTATGGAATTTTCAGCATGGATATCGGTAGCCCAAATTTTGCAGGCCGGCCATAGATATCAGGTGTGCGTCGGCAGGGGATTGAACCTCGAACCATGTGCATGGTCGGCGAGAGTCCTAACCACTGTGCCACCGACGCACTGGAGAGCTGTTTCTTCCACCCTAGTTTGGAAATCGTCGTCAGTACGCACCCACTGGGTTTCAAACCCAGGACCTTCCGGTCACAGGGAAAGCTCCTATTTCACTATTATTGTTATTATTTTTAATACAACTAATGTTTTCTCTACTTCCAGGTAGTCAACAGTTGTCCTGTAGCTATTCTGATAGTAAGTTTTTATGTTTTATAATTTTGTTTCTGAACATCACTTCCTTTTTTAAGAATTCAACTAAGCTAGAACAATTAATTACGTAAAAGGGAAGGGATTTTCTCTTCCAGATAAATTATCCACAAAAATGATTATATCAATGAAAGTCTATCAATGCCAGGAATATCTCGAATAGATTCATAATGAATTAATATCCTTTTCATCTCCGTCATATTTTAAGCAAAATCAAGAATGACAACAGAAGATCTATCCTAAGGGTTTAGTATAATGATATCAGATAATCACTTGCGTATCATCTATTCATACGACAGTTTGTCATTACTCATGATGAATTACAGTGAAAGAATGATGCTCACTGGAAACTGGCTCTATTCAGGTAGGTAGTTACCTTGGTTTTTAGTGGGAAGCCGTGACCAGCAGGGTTCAGCAGGTTGAAGGTGAGGCAGTAGCTCATAGAAGAAGACATTGTAAAGTGGTCGCACTATGTCATGTCATGCAGAGAGCACTGGACAGATGTTTCGTCCTAGTTTGGAACTCTTCATAGTACGCACCCAGACCGCGAGGTTTGAACCTAGCACCTTCTGGTTACAAGGTTTTCCAATGGTTCTCTAACTGATTGCAGTTCATGGTGAAATCCTCCAACCAATCAAACAGAAGTTCTCTACAAAACCAACACTTGAAAACTGAACTCATGCTCACTAGCGACTGGCCCTATTCAGGTAGGTTTCTAGTGGGAAGCCGTGACCAGTAGGGTACAACACATTTAAGGTGAGGCAGTAATTCATCGACGAAGACATTGTGAAGTAGTCGCGCCAAACATCATGAATTGGCAGAAGTTAGAATTCATGGGGTGCCCATTGAGGAGTCGGGTCCCAATGGATGAATGGTCTACGAGCTTGTCTTGTAACCTGAAGGTTCGGGGTTTGAACTTTGGTAGGTTCGTAATGTCTATGAGTCTTAGTTCTCCCTGGTCCTGGGTTCGAACCTCAATGGATTTGTACTGATGGAGAGTCCCAAACTAGGACGAAAATACTGTCCAGTACTCCTAGCTGGTTTTCCAGATTTTCATCCCGCCATCAATCATCACCCACTACCTGTTCAACAGAAAATTGATTGAAAACACTCAGATAATGAATTGAGAAGAGCTGGAACTCACCTATCATTAAATCTAGATCCCAGTAGCTCAATAGCCGGCGACTTGACACCTTATAACCTGAAAGTTATGAGGGCAAGACACGTCCTAGTGTTTAAATCACTTCTCTACATCTTGCCCAAATGGCAACAACTGCTGGTTGATATGAGTGACATCCAACTACTCACATCAATTGATCAGTAGTATATACCATCAAAAATTAGTCACTTTAAATCACAATAACTGTCTTCATCAACAATATGGTTCTTGGGAAAAGCTGTATTTGCAAGTTGTAGTCTGTCTGAAAAATAAATTCTTTAATCTATAGTATTTTTGACTGGTCAGTAGACATCAGGTTTTATCCAAGTGTTGGTCTACAAAGATTTGATTGGTCTCAAGATTGGTCACGAATTGACTTCAGTTAGAGAGTCAGTGACAGGTGTTTCGCCTCAGTTCGGGACTGTTCAATGGTGCTTTTGGATGAACCTATTCCGGTGGAAATTGAAGGCGTTCAGGTTTCAAGGCGAGCCTGTTGATCATTCGGTCACTGAGATAGAATCCAATGAGCCATCAACTTCGGCTTCTGACAATTGGGTATGGTTAGTTAATGATGCTGAGTACATTGATGGATGACGATATATGAATACAAGATGAGTAGTACTGAATTGACAATCAAACATACTTGAATTTCTTGTATTCATAATATCATGGAAATTTTTCAGGGTGATTAGGCCTACATAGTGAAATCACGCTGAGGAATATTTATGCAGGCTCGAGTTAATATCTATAGTTAATATTCTAGTGAGAGCTGCCTGCTTGCCAAAATTTGTAGACAGCAATTTGCGACAGTGTTTACCTCCCAAATCTTGGTCTTGAGAAAGAAAACAACAACATAACCTAACCTTGTACAGCTCAACAAACAATCACAGCAACTAAGTGTGGGCGGATACTATTCACACACATATCACCAGACTGTCTAAGAAACAGTGACAAAGAAATTACAGAATAACCTTCAGCTGGAAAACAACCAGTCAGAAGAGGTTTCTTCTTTGCTAACAATAACGCCAATAATAATGTACATAAAAATCTACAAATATCTGATAATTTTCTCAATAAACGGTCTGTTGTCTGGCCCTTGTCTTCTGTCGTTACAAGGCTAGAAAGATGGCAGTTTAACTGAAAGAAATTCACTTGGTATATATATATATATTCTGGTTTAAATTATCATGAAATTATCAAAAGTTGAGATATACTGACTTATATGTTATGAAGTAACTGGAACTCCGACTAAGTCTTTACAAGACAGTAAATGAACTTTGAATCATTCGTTTTCATTTAATGTTTTTTTTGTTTGTGTTTTAAGTAGTTTTCTACCTATCACTTTGTTTTATTTTATTTTACGTATTTCTAGATGAGAAACAACCGAATACTCTGAGTCATAGTGAAACTTTCACACGTGGTCATTTAGTTATTAATGAATGTGCACAAAATGGAAGTTATATAGAAATAACAAATAAAGGCAATATGGTGTGTATGTTTGTGTTATTATGATTATTATTATTTATTTTATTCCATCACTTTCCAATGGAATATACGGCTTTAGGCTGGAGTCTTGAAGTTTCGGTAGCGATGGTTTTATTTTTACAGAGTGAGGCTGCTAGCTTCATGCTCCGTCTTTCCTCTTCATCAGTCCGACTACTGGCCCAGTGAGGTTTAGCAGTAATTCTGCTGAGTATTGAACCCGGACTACGTGCTGAACCACCTATGCTAATTTGGCATGTGAAATTATATAATTTACTATTATTATTACTATTATTGCTATATTACTTTTCTCTTGTTGTCTGAATGGAGCATAGGGCTTCATCAGGTGACCTTCATTTCATCATATTCTCCGAAGTCCTCTTTGGCCTGGCTACATGATTGCTCATAAACTCTCATTTCCACCTCCTCACACGTTTTTCTCCATATCAGTTTCGGACCCCCACCCAACTTATCGTTTTACATTTGGGTTCCAGTTAGGGACTTACTTGGCACCTGATGTCGTTCAGCAGTCTCCTCAGCGTATTTCCAATCCATCTCCATTTTTCTTTAGGATATATTTATTGAGCGATGTATTCTTGGCTGGTTTGTTGCTTATCTTTTCTGACCATATAATCTTTAGCATGCAGGAAAAGCAGCTTTTAACGTGATTCGATAGCCTATTGAAAATGCTTCCAGTGAGTTACAAAGTGTCTTAACTATATAGAAGCAATAAGACGAACTTGACATTAGTAATGAAGATGCCTGTCTTTCCTTGCGAATCATATGACTTTATAAGTTACACTGAGCAAATTAAAGACGCCTGATTGAATTTCTTTTTAACTGACTAATTGTAAACTAAGAGGATCACTGTTTTATTCACCTACAGTACCTCAACAAATGATAATATATGACTGAACACTATTCTTTCTTTGACCAGACGAGATATTTATTCCTGTTGATTGTTCGAAAAGAAATACTGGGCTATTGTTCACATGGTCCGGACGCTTCGACCATTTTTGAGGATTATTATTGATGCTTTTGCTAGATGATGATTATCCACAGTGGAATTCACGAGGCGTTATTTCGTCCTGTGGTGCACTCGTCATCTGAGTGTACCTGCTCCTTCTGAGACTAGAACCCAGTACATCTCGTCGGTTGCCTCCAACCATCTAATAAAGAGTTATGTACTATACAACTTGGGTACGAGGACCATTTTATGTGCGACGAGCATCAGTTGTTATTTACTTTCAGCCGTTTTTAATTTTCCCGTTGATTGCTTAGATCGGTCAAGAATGTTCGACTTTTGTTGATATGTCGGCTCGTAGTAGGGATGACTCAATGATATCTGAGTATTAACAGTAGTGTTTTTAGTAGATGTTCACCAGAAATAAAATCCAAAATGCGAATTTCGTCCTTTTGGGGCTCATCAACCAGATGCAATAATAAATTATCACGATAGCACAAGAGGTAGCGCTCATAGCTTAACTGGTCTGACGTATAACTCTTTGACGTTAGAAACGAAAAGATACTGGGTTCTAGTCTCAGTTGGAACAACATTATTCCCTAGAGATTGTAGGTAGATCCAGGTGACAAGTTCCACTCAGGACGAAATATGCATCCTCGATTCCTCTGCTGGTCACTATTCACCGGATAACATCTATTTTCAGTTGGTTCAGTGACATGACCTTTGATCTAGGTTAAGGCTAAGTGCTTAGTCCCCAGCTCGAATAGAATATTATATTAGTGTGATACATAATGGGGGCGTATTCATTTCAGACAAATCGATTGATTAAAGTTTCTTAGGCAGGTGTGATTCATTAAAATGTTAAATAGTCATTACCCACGCAAATCAATGCATCAAATTTATTTTCATGTCGTATAGACTTTTAGCATTTACAATGAACACACCATAACTCATTTTACCAAATTCATAAAGCAATGATAACAGAGGCATAAAGTGTTCAATTTTGTTTTAATCCTCTTGTTACCATAGCAACCATGAATAAATAATAAAGAAGTTAGAGACAGTGGAAGTTGAAAATTGAAGAAATAGACTGGCACACAAACATAACAGTTTTAATAACTAATAGAAACTAATTATATATGATGTATTGGGCAGTCCAGACGATTAATTTTCATTAATATATATACGATTATTAAATGCGATTCAATTATAGTTGTACCTTTCTGAGTGGATGGCATGTCGCTCAATATAAGTTGGTATGATTTCTGCGTATCGGCTTAACTATAATCTTTTATAGGCTTGTCCAGTCATTTGTCATAGTATAAGTGTGCTTAAATTTGTATGGACATCACTGCGAATTAATTGTTATTCTGATATTTTTGGTATATCTACCTAGTAAGTTGAGAGCTATACGAACCGATTATGCTAATGAAAACTACTCGACCAACAACAACAGTTCCACTGATACTAGGAAAGGAGACAGAGGACGGGTTGGTGAAAAGAGGTCTGTTGCCATCTGTCTTTAACAACAGTTAAATCACTTGACAAGGATTCTGAATACGTGAAATTTAGTGGACACTGACAGACACTGATAAGTTTACAGAGTTACTGCCCAGTTGCAGTTTAATATTCGCAAGTGAAGGGGGTACTGAAAATGGTGCAGTGATCACGTGATAACTCTAAAATATCGTTATTTTAAGGTCATAAGTCAATGTCAGGCTATCGGTGAAAGTACTATTCCATTCAGCTACTAAGACTCGATTCAATGATTAGCTCATATATTCTAACTTCTACTGATTCGTGACTTAGCGCGATTGGTACCAGCCAATCTCATCGGTGAGACATCTATCCTCATACTTGACTGATTGCACTTCACTAGTCAAAACTTCTCACTAGAACTCCAGGGACCACTGTCCTGTAGCAAGTCACTAGCGAGCAATAGATTAATTTTCAAGAGCTGATTTGTAAAGATTTGATTTGTTTTTACGAGTTGATCTCGGATTGATTGGTCGCGCTAAATGACGATTCGGTAGAATTTAGAATTCATGGGCTGGCCAATGAATTGGGTTCCAGTGGCTGAGTGGTATACGAGCTTACCTTGAAACCGGAAGGTCCTGGGTTTGAAACCTAGTGAGAACGTTATGCCAGTGAGTCCCAAACTAGGATGAAACAGCTGTCCAATACTCTAGGCCTGGTTTTTCAATGGTTCTCTTATTTATATCAGCTTTTGATCGAACATATTGTCAATCTCAGCTGGCAGGACACTACCCACTGATGGAGTAATAGATCCAGTCGTCGAGACGGAAATAAGATAAAATACTTGTCTCTCTTGATTCCACAGTAAAAAGTAGTCTTGAGTTATGATTACTCTTGATAATATTGAAGAAAACTAGAAAGATAAATAACATCTTACGGATAGTTTGAAGATTCTAGATACGTGGCTCCAAAAGATGAATTTTAATTCAATGAAACAATTTTAAATCATTAAAAGTACCCATTGAGTCATAAAGCAAAATAAAAAACAATTTAGTGAAGAAAATTTTCTTTATCGACGAAATCATCTTCAGAGGCTATACAGTCGTATTTAGATTTACCAGAAAAGTAGAGTAGTCAATTATTGAGTATTAGGGGGATGACATAATTTCTCATAAATGACTTTAGAAATGAGAATAAAAGTTACAAAAAACTTAATACTCAGGGTGTGAAAATATACGAAAGGAGAATATGAGATTGATAATAGTGAATTAATTATTAAAGTAAAAGCAAACTAAGAGTAAAACTGAAAATTAAACAATTAAAAAGTTCTTTTCCAGGGAACAACTAGTGAAGAGATTAAGACCATGGTAAAATAAGAGACTGGACAACTTTTCCTGTTTACACAGTTCGGAGTTGTATTGATGAATTTCCAACGCCTCCGCCATACACTAATTCCAAAACCTGACGCCCTTTGCACCATTTCACCTCACCTTTTAGATAATCTAAAAAGATGACTTCAGTGTGGCTGTGTGGCTTGAGTTCACCAAGTGCTTGAGAATTGAGCTAGTAACTCCCGTCCATTGTCCCTTTGCTAAGCATGCTGGATAATGTTAAGAGATGCGTTTAATAAGTGTGAACTTCGTGCGGCCAATATAACTAGCTCCACACGAACACGTGAATTTATAAACACATATTAAATTTGACCAAGGCAAGAGTTTATCATTCAAAAATCCATTGATCATTTGTTGGTTGTAGAAATTGATCCGTAGCTCAGCTGCAAAGAAGGCGTTTCTCAGTGATCTGGATAAGTAGCGGTTCTTCAGGATCTCAACTGTGGTATCACCTTTCAATTCGACGTACATAAATAGCAGTTTCTTCAGCACCGTCTGGGTTCTTTTAGGCTTTCACTTTAACTTCATGTTTTTCTCAATGAATTTTGGAGGATATCCATTTTCTCTGAGGACTTGTCTGAGTCGCTCCAGTCCCCTGTCGATTGTATCTGTGTAGCATATCCTTTCTATTCTTGGGGATAAGGAGAGGATCAGGTTTCTTTTTCTTCTCAAGGAGAAACAACTATGAACATTCATGTATTGACCAAATGAACAATTTTAGTCAATCCTCTTAAATCGATAAGAATAATATTTGATAGATATCTCAACAAAGTAACACAATATTAGTGATGACTAGACTAATACATTTGCATGGAGGATTCCAACATGAGCTGACATCAGTTAGAGAACCATTCGAAAACCAGCACTGGAGTACTGGACCACTGTTTCGTCAACCTAGTCGGAGACTCTTCGTCAGTACGCACCCACACCGTGGAGTTCGAAGCCAGGACCTTCTGGTCACAGGACGAGTGAGCTCATAGGCGATTAAGCTACTGGGACCCTACTCCTCACTAGTCAACCAATGAATTCTAACTTCTGCCAATTCATGAAATAGTGCACTGGTAAAGAGGAAAGGTTGGGCATGAGACTAGCGACCCCATCCTGTAAAAATAAAACACTGCTACAAAACTTCAATCCTCTAGTTTGAAGCCCTACGTTCCACTGGGAACGTGAAGGAATGACAAAAAACAGTTAAGGTGAATGACGTGATTGTGAACAATAAATTGTTTTATGCGATACGCTTTCATCCAGTTAGCAGCATATTACTGCCCCCCCCCACTCTGTATAATATATTCAATAAACAAATGAATATGATATCACATACTATCACACCACTGCCTACGTATACAATACCGGCACAAACACACATACACACACACCACTAGTGTAATTTGATTACCTCCTACCTTGTAATGACTGTTTAGAAAAATAAAACAAACACCTACATTATTTTATTGATCATTTAGGAGGAATCACTATTCGGTTGGTGTTTAATAAGAAATATTGATCAAGGAAGACAAATCATTCGATATACATTTCCTAACCATACATTACCTCCTCATTCAAATATTAAGGTGAGTCAATGAATTACCAAGTAAGTTAGTAAGTAGTAGAGTGAATGAGTGAGTGAGTGATTCAGTAGTATCTAACCTAATATGAAGTCTAATTTTTTACCCATAAAACACAAAATAATTGAGCAAAGAATATCCTTTTCGATCATTTCCTCTTCTGACTCCACAATTATATATACATATATTTATGTACATAGAATATTCTAGAATAGTAGTCAATATCAATAATATCGACTTGTTAAGTGAGATCGATGGAATTACAGTTCACTAAAGATGCATAAATTATAATAATAAATAACAGACTAGCCAAAAGAATATCAAATGAAATTCAGGAAATATCCACAACAAATTCAGGATCATTCAAACCTGAATGGCCAAGGTAATTGTAATGTCTGAACTAACTTCTTTTGGATGCATAAATTAGGCTTCTTAATGTGGATCCCAACGGTCTCAGCAATATTTAGTAGTCGAACTCTCAAGGCAAAATTGAGATTCGTTGATATGTGGTAAATGACCCTGAAAGCATGGTTAACGTCAATCTTGTGTTCTGTATCCACAAGATGAGATAGAATAGCGCTGCGAATACATTTTGTCTGTCCTTTGCTTAACCAACCACAAAGGGTGATGCTCAGAAATTCGACGAGAACCTTGCCTTATTGTACGGCCTATGTAACTGACTTCACAGGAGCAGTTAAATTGGTAGATATACATGGAAGAGGCGATATTAGGCAGTTTATCTTTCACTCCCAAACGCAACGGAGGAGTGGTTTTGAAGACACAGAGTAATTCAGCAACAGAGAAAGCTCTTTTCATTGCATTTACAAGGCATTGTGTTACTGTCTCGCTAATGCTGTCCCCGAGGAACTGAATTTGTAAGAGGAAGGACTTTTCAGGCACTGTTGGTACCTTGGGCTGCTTTGATTTTAGATTCATATTCTTATCAACAAACTTTTCTGGATGACCATTTTCACTCAGCAAACGGTGAATATTATTAAGTTCCTCATCAAGACATTCATCCGAGCAGATTGCTCTTGCTCTGTGAATCAAGCAATTTATCAGAATGCCTTTGTATTTCAAGGGCACGAAGCAGAAAAAAATGAGTATAGTGACCAGTTTATGTAGGTTTTCTATAAACACTTCTTCTTATTGTGCCATCCTCTTTTCTGGTCATAAAGACGTCTAAAAATGAAATACTAGAGTCTTTTTCTTTCTTAACAGTAAAATCCATTGCTGGATGAATCTCATTAAGTTTATCCAGGATGCTTTTGCTTCCTTCTCATTTTCATAATCAAAAATATGATGGAGAAGATTTGTAGCTCAAGTGGATGATTTTGATGTGGTTGTGTTCTCTGAGCTGGATAGTTAATTTGCGAAGCTTTCATCGCCCAACTGGGCGACATCTCCTGCTGAGTACCTTCAACCTTTACGTCAGTTTAAAGTCTCATTAAGCTAGACTGATAGTGTTGACACTAAAACATTTAAAATTTCATTTCCTGAAAAGATCAATGTCGCTGAATCCAATTTGCGACTTCTACACACTTCAAGATGGAATTTCACTGCAGTTTCCTTCGGGAACCGAAATTACTCAGATCACAATATGCTCTCTGCTTTACACTGTGAATAGTAGTCAAAAAATCAAGTAAAATTGCATTAAATACTTCTTGATTCATATAAGTACTTGTGTGAGCGGTGCTTAGTAATCAGATGGTGATGATTTAAACTCCGGAGGCCCATTTCACTCGTTTGTGGTCGAGTTCATCAGCGATGAATCCAACTCTCCAAGCTGAGTCAAACTGAATACACCGTTGATGAGTTCCACCGCAAACGAATGTTTAGACAAATTCGATCTGGCTGTTTGGAAGGTACTACCAGTTAGTGTGACCGGTTTCAAACTACTTGTCTGAACCAATCAGTAGTATATAGTCCTATCAGAGTCGTCGTCGTTATTATTATTATTATAAATAGTCTAGTGTATCACACTTTTTAGTAACATCGTAACATTGACAGATAATGTTGTGTCTCATATATAATTAGTTAGTCTTCTGCTTTCTTGTCGTCAAAAGACTATTGAAGATATTATTGCTGGTGTTTAAGTGACGGTTTGTAGGCATTCAATAGCTGTCAGGTTAGTTCAAGAACTGATATAAGTTAGAAAGGCATCGGACACCAAGGAGTACTGGAAAGGTGTTTCGTCCTAGTTCGGAACTTTCCAACAGTACTCATACATTACTCTACCGTATGTCGAACAGTAGATCTCTTCAGGTTATTAGGTGAGTACATTGACCATCCATCCAATAGCCAAAGTATTAATTACAACTTCTTCCGATTCATGATATATAACTTGACCCTGGCAGTTGTCAGTGTCTTCAGTGAGTATTTATCCTCACATTTAACTTGATGAATACCATTTCTCACAAAAATTCCTGTCAACTTTAATGCGTAATCAATCGTACAACAGTGACATAGGCTTATAAATGTTTCGCTTGTGTAAGAGCAGGGAATTTTCAGGGAAACTGCTTAGAAAGAAGACGCCAAAGATGTCGTCAATCTATAAACTTATAAATTTTTGTTACTGGCACACTCCACAACAGTATCAAATAGACTGATTATATATTTGGCCAAGTTAAAGTATCACTAACCAAGAGTGAAAATGCACCATTATCCTTAAACATGCATAATTTTCATTGATATAAGAATAAAACTTGTGCACTGTGGTAGAGTGTAATTCCATTATGGGTAAATTTTGTTTTGATAAAGTTTCACAGTGTTATACAGTAATGTTTACTGATGACGTTTCAAGCACAATTTATTGCTCATAATCATATCAAGGTAATCACACGACTTCCTAAATTCATTTATATAGTTCCATTGTTTTTCTCTTGATTTTCACTTGATTTGATTGGTAATAGTATTTTCCATATTTCAGGTATGAGTGACGAGTCATTCCTATTGCATGTGTTGGGTGTAGACTCGATGAACAAGGATTCAGTAATCAACCTCTCTCTCCACCTACCTAGATTACTTTTTAGAATTTTAACCCTCTCCCACCCTATTGTGTGGTTGTGTGTTAGCGCATGCATTGCAATTGCTGAGCTTTTTTCTAAATTACTTATCTTCTCGGGGTCAACCATTCTTACCTTAGCTAAATTCTTATGCTCTGACAATCTGACTACCCCTGACCTACTAGTTTGACCTGAAATATGGAAAATACTATTACCAATCAAATCAAGTGAAAATCAAGAGAAAAACAATGGAACTATATAAATGAATTTAGGAAGTCGTGTGATTACCTTGATATGATTATGAGCAATAAATTGTGCTCGAAACGTCATCAGAAAACATTACTGTATAACACTGTGAGACTTTATCAAAACAAAATTTACCCATAATGGAATGCATAATTTTCGTTGGATAACGGGACTTACCATTATCATGGCGCCAGTATGAATGTTGTTCATGAATCTAGGTGCATATTTTATTCTGACCTCATTTTTAAGTATTGTCTAGACAATTTGTTAATAGCCTTTTAGGATGACAGTTACGATTAGTTTCAGGACCAAGGTTAGGGTCAAGGTTCGGGGCTGGTATTTTTTATTTTTATTATCGCCATTTGTATACAAAATATAACTTTATCGTCTTACTGAAGTCCATAATAATTCAATAGAGCGCTTTCGGGAAAGACTACAAAAAAGGGGTTAAGAGCCATACATAAGACACACATAAAGAGTCACCTTCAATCACCTGAACGAATACATCTACAGAGACCGGTTTAAATTAAAAGCTGGTACTCCTCATCATAATTAGAAAATATTTTTAAGTCATGTTAGGTAAAAAAAGCACCCTGTTTACTTTGTTTTCATGTATTTCCTTTGTAAATAAACGTTATTTTTGTTACGAAAGCCATCTGATCTCCTGATTCGTTGGGCTCAACGTTACTCGTGCATTCGCTTTTTCCATGAATCTTTATAGTTTAATTCTTTCTCTGATATATTTTTGTATTTCCAAAAATATCTACTTTGTAAATGCTCCATGGATTAAAAAAAGTATAAAAATTGAGTTCAAAAAAGTTTAATCGTGGTGTTCTAGTTAGAATTCTCAGTTGTACTCATTCAAATCGACAAGTGATGAATTGAATTCAGCCAAATATGATAAAACAAAACACGTGTACTCCAGTAAAGAGTCTCTTTTCGGTGGCAAATTCACTCACTTAGCTGTACAACCGCAATTATATTTACTTATTCCTGTATGTCTGTGTGTACATCAGATTTGTCCGATAAGAATAAAAATTAGTTCGGGTTATTGTTGTCAAGATATTTTTAAAATGTGATGAGTAATCAAACTGTAATTAGGTTGGCAGCAATGATTGGTAAGAGGGTAGTGGTGATGTGTTGCCAAAAAAACATAGTTAATAATGTTAGTCAAACCATAAAAGAAGTTGGATAAGCGTAATACATTTGCGTAATAGGATGAATAGTTTAATGAGTGAGTTGTGATTAGCATGCACATAGAAACAAAGGAAAATATGGAATTATGTAAGAGTTCCAATATTTACGAATATTTTAAGGAGTTAGAAAAGAAAAAAATCACACAAACATCAAGTCACTAGAAGTCAACAAGATTGTTATTATGATAGTAGAAGTGGTTGGATGATTTCTTTCTGCATCCATAACTCTGGTTTCTTCAACTTAATGACTAAGCCTCCAGCAATACAGTGTAGACGAAAGCGTATTGCCTTTGTCAGGTTATTCTTCACTGTGTAGATCACTTTGAAGCAGGATGTGTTTATTGAAATGAAATGACCAGTATTGACGAGATGTTCGATTGTTGCACTCCTTGTTGCACAACCACTATTACTTTTTGTAGCCATGCGGGATAGTGTTGTTGAACCCCTTCGGACAGGATACGCGTCAAACGACCAATGTACCTGAATGGCTACACAACAACAGGTGAATTGATATATGCACATGGAAGTCGACAAATGCAGGATCTTCTCCTTAAGGCTTCTACAGATCAGTGGGCGTTGCTGTAAAGAATATTCTTTTCAAAGATGCTTAAATTCTTCTCTTGAGGATATCGCAAGCTAAGTCCCCTATGAACTCCAGATTCATATAAAGTAGCTCTTCTGAAAAAAGTGCTGTTTTGTTCCTCTGATCCTTTGGTTTGATATTCTCGTCGACGAATCTTGGCGGATATGGATTTTGGATGAAGGTTTCTTTCAGAATATCCAGTTCTGCTACAAGGGTTTCTGGACTTCAGATGCGTCGTTTGGGAGTGGCAAGGGATTTAAGCAGATTTCGTTTCCTCTCAATAGGTATCCAGCTGTAGAAACTTGTAAGTTGATCATTCCAGGTGGCTTTTCTATGGAATAACGTTCTTAAGCATCTGTCACTTCGTCTTGTTAGTTGCACATCAAGAAAGGGAATTTTGGATTCTCACTCCATCCAAGTTTGGTTGCTCATCACATTTTTGAAATGCCATGACAACAATAACCCTAACTTACTTTTATTCTTAACAGACAAATACACACAAAAACGAGTATATGTGCGTCAGTGGCACAGTGGTTAGGACTCTCACTGACCATGCACATGGTCCAGAGTTCGATCCCCTGCTGACGCACACCTGATATCAATGGTCGGCCTGTAAAATTTGGGCTACCGATATCACATGCTGAAAATCCCATACATGTACCAAAAATACAGTGTGGAATCAAGCTATAATCGAAATAGACAAATAAAATAAAAATGTAATTGCGATTGTGTACAGCTAAGTAAATCAATTCACCTCCGAAAAGAGACTCTAAGCTGAACTACACATGTTTTGTTAGCACGAATGAGAAAGGCAAAAGAGGTGTTCAGTGTTTAGAGGCTACTTTTTACTGTTAGTGTTGAGTGTGTATACACTTGATTTGGTGTTAGCAACAATTAGTATTGTACACTCATCGATTAGTTTTGATTCCATGTTTTTGTCAATACATTTTTATTTTAGATCTGGGCAGGTAGTAAACCACCTGTACGATCAATAAGTATTAGTGATATTGAAGCACCATATTCAACATGGGGTACTGGTTCCTATATACAGACAAGTCTTTACAATCCAGATGGTTTAGTAAGTGTTGTGCCTGTTCAATTATTTATGTTCAGTGTGTCTTCCTAAATTATACATCTGCCTTTGACTCTATAACTATACCCAAGCTTGATGAGAGGTAATCAGGCTGACGGATTAATAAATGCTTACATTCATATTTCTCTAATAGGAAACATTAAATTGGATATATAGAAGAAAATCTCTTACTGCTTTGTTTACTATAATCGGTATCCCTAAAGATAATACTTTCATAACCTGTGATGAGAAGTATGATCTAGAAAACCTACTTCAAATCTTCAATAACACCCATCTAAACATCGACTTCACCCTGGAAGTCTAGTTTAACGTTTCATTTTTACGACGTTCAACTATGAAGGAACGCAGACAACTGGTTAAGAAGATCCATCTACAAAAAGTCCACATGGAAAGGACAGTTTATTAACTTTCAAAGTTGTGTGTCCCTAAGCAGCAAGGCGTATCTGCAACCTCGAAAGAGCTCATGTGAGTTCACAGATTCGAATCCGCGTCAGCCACTGCTGCCTGCAGTTAGAGACGTTACCACTGAGGTGTTCGGGCTCGCAATCGACTTCCTGTAGGAGTGTATTGGATACTTTCATCGGACACTAGTAACTAGTGTGATGTGTCTAGTCCTTTGCAATGTGACCACCATTCTACGTAGCTTGCCGTCACGACGCACTTTAAATTGTTGATGTTAGATAGTTAGCTACCTAGAATGATGGCCACATTTCAAACATGACTGACAGAATTCAGTCTGCACCAAACAAAGGACTAGATACATCACAATAGTTACTACTGTGCAATGAAAGTCCTCTTCACCAACCTTACCCCAAGACTGCCTCTAACCTCTCACCTCCTCACCCCTCTAATCTCCTCCATTTCACCCGCGCACCGACGACACAATTGTCACTTCCCATTTAGATTCCACTTGAGCGATTTCATTCGACCGTGTCCTTAGCGTGTGCGAAATCCATCTCCATTTTCTTCTGAACAACAAATCTCCACTGTGCTTTATTTTCTACTGTCCTCTTCATCTGGCTGACCCCAAGATTTCCCATAATCTCTCATCTCCTCTAATCTCCTACATATCACTCTCGGATTGACGACTCACTCTTCGCTTCACAGTCGTGTTCCACTCGAGCGTTGGGTGGCGCGCGATGTCATTCGACAGCCTCCTTAGGGTATGCGAAATCCATCTCCATTTTCTTCTGAACAACAAATCTCCACTGTGCTTTATTTTCTACTGTCCTCTTCATCTGGCTGACCCCAAGATTTCCCATAATCTCTCATCTCCTCTAATCTCCTACATATCACTCTCGGATTGACGACTCACTCTTCGCTTCACAGTCGTGTTCCACTCGAGCGTTGGGTGGCGCGCGATGTCATTCGACAGCCTCCTTAGGGTATGCGAAATCCATCTCCATTTTCTTCTGAACAACAAATCTCCACTGTGCTTTATTTTCTACTGTCCTCTTCATCTGGCTGACCCCAAGATTTCCCATAATCTCTCATCTCCTCTAATCTCCTACATATCACTCTCGGATTGACGACTCACTCTTCGCTTCACAGTCGTGTTCCACTCGAGCGTTGGGTGGCGCGCGATGTCATTCGACAGCCTCCTTAGGGTATGCGAAATCCATCTCCATTTTCTTCTGTACATTTGTTGAGCAATCGGCTCTTCGTTGGTTCGTCCCAGTCAGAGGTTTTTGCTGCTAATTCTGTCTAGCCAGCTGGCTATTTGATCTTCAATATATGAAGCCGGCCAGCAACGTGCGTAGCTGCTGATAAAAATCTGCAATGGCCTGTTGGAAATGCTTGTCGTGATGCACCCACCAAGTTTCTGACGCATACAGAAGAACTGACTGAATTCACATTGGTGTTGAAAACCCGAATCTTGTTCTTTATGCTGGCAGAGTGAGTGCAGAGGATTTTCAAACTGATATCAGATTGATGAAGGTGTATCTTGCCTTTCTGATTCCGGCTGGCTTTGACATCATTCGCGCTGTAGCCCATGGTTGAAACGATGCAGGCTGCCTAGATAAGTGAAGGAAGGAAGTCGCCTCTGTAGAATTTTCCCCGTTGATGGTGATTTGTTCCAGTTGTTGTTATTGTTTGTTGGTTATTTTCATCACCTACCTCTGTCATCTGTATGTTCACCTGGAGTCTTGTCTTCTCTGCCGATTTTCGGTTTTTGTCTGTCTGTGTGACACTAAACATATATATATATATATATATAATTTCTAAAATTGTATCACCTTACTTTCCTAGTGGAATAGAAGGCTTCAAACTAGGGCTTTGAATTTTTAATAACAGTGGTTTTGTATCTACGAGGTAGAGTTGCTAGTCTAGTGCGTTAGTGGTTCAGCGACAGGATGCCCGGTAGCAGTCCACGCGGTCCGTGGTTCAATCCCGACCGTCGACACACACCTAAAACCTCGCTAAAGAGGTAGTAAGGCTGGTATGTGAGGCTAGCAACTCCACCCCGTGACTACATGAATAACACGATTGGTCACGAGCTAACATCAGTTAGAGGCAATTTAATATGAAGCTCTTTATCGACTCACCCTATAAAAGCGTTACGTCGGGTTCTAGTAAGACGTCATAACCAACGGGATCCACCAAGTCAGACAAGAGGTCAGTTTCTCCCCCGTGACAATGGCTGCAGTTTGCGCTAAATATATATCACGAATAGACAGAAGTTGGAATTCACAGACCACTGGTTCGGGTCCAAGTGGCTTAATGGTCGACGAGCACGCCTCTTAACCAGAAGGTCCTGAATATGAACCGTGGCTATGAGTGCATACCGACGAGGAGTTAGTCCCAAACTGAAACGAAATAGTAACCCATTTGTCCCAGGTTTTCCAATGGTTCTCTAAGTGATGTTAGCTTGTGATCAATCCTGCAACCAATCAAATCTTCGCAAACCAACACTTGACATTCGAATAAAGCTTGTTTCATTTGCTGTTTCACTTAAAACCATGAAGGTGTATACATATTGTAAATACGTTTTTCTTTCTTCAAATGATTTTTTTTTATCTTCAAAGCAAACTAATCTCCAGACACCTCTCAACTACACACTAATTATTAGAGTCGGGAGTAAGATTTCAGACAAGCCTAATGAAATCCTTGTTTTACGAGGATCTCTCATTTTTCCTATTCATTACTTAATTTGTCCCTCTGCTGTTCAGTACTCTTGAAGAAGATATTAAACGCAACAACATACTACTTACAAATCTCTGTCAGTAGCATCTACCATCCAGTGAAATGGATAAAATGACAATTATTTTATTATAAGTACAATTGGTTGACGCAGTCATGATGCACCCTAAACCAACAGAAGTTTGGTTACATAAAACACTTGATGTGCTAACCACAATGTTTAATAGCTGTTTTTGGGTTTTGGTCGCTTTATGAACCGGTGGGCGAACACTAACCAGGTAACAAAATCCAACAACAAAAGTCTTTATTATCCATCTTAAAAATCACTTGAAATTTCAGGAACCCTAGTACTACTGTAACCGCAGAAGACAAGGGACAGGAAACAGATCGTTTATTTAAAAAAATCAACAGATATTTATAGATTTTTATGTACATTTTTGTCAGTGAAGAAGCAACATTCTCTGATTGATTGTTTTCTTGGTGAAGGTAATTCTGCATTGCTTGTGACCGTCTCTTAGAATGTTAAGCCATGTATCTGCGAATCGTATGTGCACACGTTAAGTCTGCTGTGATTGGTTGGTGAGCTGATCAAAATTAAGCTTTGTTATTGTTTTTTCTCCTGACCCTGATTCGGGACGTAAATATTGACGTAAATTGTTGTCTACACTTCTGGCTTGTTCGAAGGCAGTTCTCACTACACTACTACTGCAACTTCAAATCCCGGATTTTTGAAGCCGTCTCTTCCACTTGGAAAGCCATAAATTGTATACTATATTATCCACATTATAAATGAACTATTGTCCATTTTTCTGACTTTTTCAGGAGAAAGCAACACATATTCAAAAACTACAATAAGTCAACAATATAAATAAATTATAATAATGGCTGTGAAGAATACTTTATAATGGGAATGGGAAAAACTCCCACAAAGCGATCAAAACCAAAAATAGCGAATTGTTCAATGAAAACATATCTATACATCAATCTGTTTTATCCTTTGGTCTTTATTATTATTATTTTATGTTTTATAATGTTTTGTTTTGCACTTTCAAATTTTTATTCTCTCAATTATTCCTCTCCTTACAATATTTCGGATTTTCTACATAAAATTTAGTCAAGGAAAGGAGAAATACCAGCTGCTATTAGTTTTCTTCAGTTGCACACACCCAAACACTTTTAGAAAGCAGACCTACATCACTATAGACAGAAATGCCTTGAAATACAACATCTCTGTCAGTTAGTATTGACTTCGTATCTTTTAACTTTAGTAAATGTTTTTATACTACTACATAATTACTTAGTAGCTTGTAAGACTTTCGTTAATTTAGTTGTCTGTTAGACTATTATTATTATTCCTTGGCATACCGAGACTTCAAAACCCATCCCTCTTCAACTGAACTTATTCTCTGGTTAAGGGCGATTTGTAGGAGTGCATATTTAGGTGGCTGGGAAAGTAAACCCTGGACGAATTAAGTGATTAGTTGCAAGCATCCTACCAATAAACTGCCGATGCACACTTATTTAAATATATATAATGCACATTAAATAATTTTATGATTATTATTATTTTATACATTCTTTTTTACTTTTTTGAAACGGAGTCGGCTTTGCTATATTAGCTTCATAGTGTACAGTTCCATTTTTCGTACTTTTTCACTTTGAGTGTTGAGGATGTTTTTGTTTGTCGACTACTAAAAAAATTGGTGATATTTGATAAATCAATGAATGAATCAATAAATGGATTTTTTCAAAGTTTGTTTATGTTATTCTGTTGACTAGAATTGAATTTAACGGTGTTGTGGCTTGTCGGAACACCACAGACTTGTTAGTTCTTTGTATTACTCTATCATTACGATGAATGTAAGTCTTTAAGAGGAAAACTTGTCTTTTGAAGAAAACACAGAACTTCAGCAGCAATATATCAAATTCGTTATGTTACTTATAGTCTTTTATAGCTGCCTCCATAATTGCTGATAAGGTTTCACCTCCGTCTCATGCGATCGCCTTCATATCATCCTCAAATTGACGCCCACTGGAGAGCTTGGTGCGTGATATCTCGCCCAATGGTCTCCTCACAGTATGTGTGTCCAATTCACATTTCACTGCCTTCTGATTGTATGTGTCGGGCGATAGAGATGCTTGGTTGGTTTGTTGACTGCAATAGTTTCTTTATGCTTATCGTTTCTTGCCGGCCATCTGATCGAGTCAGAGAAGGTGACTTATATTCATAAAATTCAGGAAACTAATCCATTACTGAATTTATGCTGTCAGACAGAATTTTCGATCTACAGTACAATGTCTTATTATCAAAATCAACGTTTTGTACAGAGTAAGATAGTACTATCATTTAGTGTTTTCGGCTTTTCATCACCCACGTACAGCCTGAAATCAGTACTTCTGTGATATTGGTTCAGAGAATTTTCATACGCGTCGTTAAAAGAATTTCCAACATAATCTCCAAAACTTTTATCAACACCTGCCTCCTTTGATCTTTCCTGAAGATCAGATGGTCAGCCGTGGAGGATTAGCAGAATAGGAAGAAACTCTGGGAAACGAACCAGCCAGACACTAATTGCCAAATAAATATGCCGAAGAAAATGGAGATGCATTGGACCGTTGAGTGACATCATGCGCAAAGGAGGCTCTTCGGTGGAACTGAATGAGAAACAAAGAGTTGACCATCCAAGGGTGACAGGAGATGACCGTTTGACGGGGGGGGGGGTGAAATCCTGTAGACAATCGTGGATCCGGCTAAATAAGACTGAGGAGAAAAGGATAAGGTGAAGACGTGCTGCTGAAGCCCGATGTTCCACTCGGAAGCAAACAATAATAATAATCATAGTATGTACGGAGAATTTTCAAAGTACTTGCAGATGTGACATGATATCAGTTAACAGAAAACTCAGTAATTAGTAAAATTACTCAGAAATTACACTTACAGAATTTGCATACAGAAGATTTATGGTTGGGAAAGGCGCTGAGTAAGAAAGATAAGAGATAGGCAATTAGTTGGTAAGTAACTAAATCCGTACGTCGGTAGCACAGCGGTTAGGACGCTAGCCGACCATGCACATGGTGCGAGGTTCGATCCTCGGCCGATGCACATCTAATATTAATGGTCGGTCTGCAAAATTTGGGTTACTGATATCACATGCTGAAAATTCCATACATGTACCAAAAAGCTGTGCGGAATCAAGCTACTAACAATGCGGTGAGTTCGAATGAAGTCATAAAAATAAAATGCAAGCATAATTACATTGTAAGGAAGCGGGAAGAGGTTAAAGGTTAAGGTTACATCGTCATATTCACGGAAAAGTAAAGACAACGAGTTACTAGGGGAAGAAAACTTGGATATCAGTGGTGGTGAACACTGAATGATTTGTTTATTCGAACTGGTCTTAATTTGGTGGGAGACAACATTGATGATCGCTGCTTAATCGTATGCTGGTTGGCAAATTATTTGGAGAAATACGATCAGAAGTATCATTGTACATTTTATTAAGGTTTATTCACAGACTCGGCACATAGTAACTTGTAATGCTGTTCGCTAATCAGTGGGGCAATAAATAATCCTATGGTTATTCTGTGTTGGCTACTAAGCACACATAGTATTGGGGGTGTTTGGCATAGTCTTCTGAAATCAGAGATACCTTCAGGATTTTTCGCCACCTGGATATTTGACAATGGATGATTGTTTCTTTCTGGATACATAAATCAGATTTTATGCGTTACATAACAGTTGTTTCGGTAAACTTGAAATTTCATTGTAAAAGTTAGTAAACTAAAACCAGAGGATGTCATTCATAACAAAAAAGTAGCACTAGGTGAAATAGATAAGACAGCAGCAGAAGAGGTTTGAGTACAATGTACATTAACCCTGAAAAATCAAAAGAAGGCAAAATCGAACTTAACGAAATCGGAAAGAGAAGCTCTAATTAGTATAAAACAGTATAAAACCATTGTCATCGCAAAAGCTGACAAAGGAAACTCCACTGTAGTTTTGAATAAATCTGACTACAGTTTGGTTTGTAAGGATTAGTTATGTTTTACGAGTTGATCACGGATTGATATCAGTTAGAGAACCATTGAAAACCAGGGAGTACTGGACAGCTGCTGTTTCATCCTAGTTTGGGAATCATCGGCAGTACGCACCCACTGGGTTTCGAACCCAGGACCTTCCGGTTACAAGGCAAGCTCATATACCATTCAGACAGTGGGGCCCGATTCAATGGCTCGTGAATTCTAACTTCTACCAATTCGTGATTTAGCGCGACCCCAACCATTGTCGTTGGTGGGACATCCATCCACACACGTGACATCTAATTGGACCTCAATGGTCACGACTTCTCACTAGAACTCAGGAAACTCCAACCTGTAGCAAGTCACTAGCGAGCATCAGATCAACTTTCTATAGTTTGGTTTGTAAGGATTAGTTATGTTTACTCGTAAACATCAGTGGTTCTCTAACTGATGTCAGCTCATGATTAAATCCTCCATACAAACATAACTAATCCTTACAAACCAAACTATAGAAAGTTAATCTGATGCTCGCTAGTGACTTGCCCTATACAGGGAGTTATCCTGGAGTTCTAGTGAGAAGTCGTGACCATTGAGGTCCAAGATGTCACGTGTGTGGATGGATGTCATCCACCAAGACAATGCGTTGGGGTCGCGCTAAATCACGAATTGGTAGAAGTTAGAATTCACGAGCCATTGAATCGGGTCCCAGTGGCTGAATGGTATACGAGCTTGCCTTGTAACCGGAAGGTCCTGGGTTCGAACCCCGGTGGGTGCGTACTGCTGAGGAGTCCCAAACTAGGACGAAACAGCTGTCCAGTACTCCCAGGTTTTCCAGTGGTTCTCTAACTGATGTCAGCTCATGATTAAATCCTCCATACAATCAAACCAAATCCCTACAAAACCAACACTCTTAATACATTTAATCCTACTCCAAAAATATGGTGGAGATATGCGGATGACACTTCCATACACAGTGTTAAAAACAGAACATATCCCTCTCTGGCTTCTTCACACACATAAACTCACTAGTGAAGGGAATAAAATTCACATTTGAATCGGAAAATGAACTAGGAGAATTAGCTGTGATGTTAGATTGTAAAATAAAACGAATAGAAGAGGGTAAACTGCACACTAGAGTTTGTAAAATACCAACTCATTCTAATAGATATTTAGACTTCGATTCATCTCATCCGTTAACTGTAAAGGCAGGCTAAGTTAAGCGTCCAAACAAACCGAGCAGTAGCACTAAAGTAGCACAAAAAAGACCTAAATGAGGAAATAAAACAGATAGAAGAAGCGTTAGTGTTGAATAACTATCCTATAAAATTCATTAGGAAGATCGAAAAAGGCCAAAAGCAAAATAAAAATAATTGTGAAACTAGTAATGATAACCTAAATAAGAGAGAATGTAAGGAGGGGACATCCGAGATCCTACGTAGGATTCTGAATAAAGCAGGAATTAGAGTGGCATTCAAACCTACAAACTCAATCACATAGGACATTCTCTGTAGGTTAAAAAGACTTTGTCGGTTGACCCAATTAAACAAAGTAATACAATTTACAAAATGCCCTGCAATGACTGTGAGGTCAACTATACAGGTCAAACTAGTAGGTCAGGAGTAGTCAGATTGTCAGAACATAAGAATTTAGCTAAGGTCAGAATGGTTGATGCCGAGAAGATAAGTAATTTAGAAAAGAGCTCAGCACTACATTGCACTGCATGCATTAACACACAACCAGACAGTAGGGTGGGAGAGGATTAAGCTTCTAAGAAGCAATCTCTGCAGGTGGAGAGAGAGATTAATTACTGTATAGAGAGTGCGACAGTCGAACATCTCGTCAACACCAACCATTCCATCTAAATGAACGTCTCCTGCTTCAAAGTAATCTACAAAATGAAGAATCACATGTAAAGCGTAATACACTTCCGCCTCCTTGGTATTGCTGAAGACTTAGTCGTTCACTTGGAGAAACCAGAGTTATGCATACAGAAGAAAATCATCCAGTCACCTCTACTACCATGTTAACAACCATGTTGACTTCTACTGACTTAAGGTTTGTAGGCTTGCCTTTTTCCTGGAACCCCTTAACACTCTTGCATTTCTTCATAACTGTTACATGATTTCCATATTCCCGTTCATGCATTTCGAAAAAAGAAACAATAAATTGAGCGAAAAAATATGCATTCGTTTTCAATCAACTCCAATATGGATAAGAGCTTTATTTTGATAAATTGCACAATTAGAAAACACAAAGAAAGAGCGAAGAAATATTTAGTCTTCAATTAGATCCTCATCTCTAGCCCTACTCTAATATATTACGTACAGCATTTTTATTACAATACACAACAGTTTACTAATCAAGTGGCGATAAGTTTGTTAACAATAATTAAACAGTGTCAAAATGTCAATGGGTTAATAGTTAACGAAGAAAATCAATACACTCGGAACTGTTGCCACACTGACTGTCCTAGGTGATGAATTCATATTTTTCCCAATAAACTTATCTGGATAACCATTTTTTCTAAGTAATTCTCTAATAATCTTAAGCTCCTCATCGAGGCAGTCGTCTGAACAGATTAACCTAGATCTATGAATCAGAGACCTTACCATGTTACGTTTATATTTCAAAGGCACAAAACTCAGAAAATGAGTGTACTGACCTGTTGTAGTTGGTTTCCTATACACACTCCTTCTTAGTATGCCATCTTCCTTCCTTGCCATGGAGACGTCTAGGAATGAGATAATGTCATTACTTCCCTTCTCTATGGTAAAGTGTATTGCTGAATGGGCATCATTAAACTTTTCGAGCATGTTCATTGCTTCATTCTCGTTTTTCATGACCAGAAATGTTTCATCCATATATCGACAGCAGAAATCCAAATCACTAATTACACCTCATACGAACTGTGATCAAGATTTGACCGGATAGTTGCAAAATAATTGAGCGCTGAGTGAGAAGTAGACATTTATAAAGTTATATTTGTAAAATCTCAGCGAAATTGAAATGATTAATTCCAACGTTTCGTTCGGCAATCTGGTCCGAACTTCTTCAGGGAAATTAATCGAAATTAACATAACAGTATATGCAGGATACACATATTTTAACAAAAGTAGACAAATTTTGAAAGTCTGAGGTCAAAAAGGTTTTTGATCATAGTTCATACAATTTTTGTTTTACGAGTTGATCACGGATTGATATCAGTTAGAGAACCATTGAAAACCAGGGAGTACTGGACAGCTGCTGTTTCATCCTAGTTTGGGAATCATCGGCAGTACGCACCCACTGGGTTTCGAACCCAGGACCTTCCGGTTACAAGGCAAGCTCGTATACCATTCAGCCACTGGGACCCGATTCAATGGCTCGTGAATTCTAACTTCTACCAATTCGTGATTTAGCGCGACCCCAACCATTGTCGTTGGTGGGACATCCATCCACACACGTGACATCTAATTGGACCTCACTGGTCACGACTTCTCACTAGAACTCAGGAAACTCCAACCTGTAGCAAGTCACTAGCGAGCATCAGATTAACTTTCTATAGTTTTGGTTTGTAAGGATTAGTTATGTTTTACGAGTTGATCACGGATTGATATCAGTTAGAGAACCATTGAAAACCAGGGAGTACTGGACAGCTGCTGTTTCATCCTAGTTTGGGAATCATCGGCAGTACGCACCCACTGGGTTTCGAACCCAGGACCTTCCGGTTACAAGGCAAGCTCGTATACCATTCAGCCACTGGGA